GGCATCGAGGGGGACGGCGAGGGTCCAAAAGGACAGCTGGGGTCGGGGGAGTCTATGTAACCCAAATAGGGAAGTCCTGGAATCAACGGGAACCCAACAATTGCCCAAGGACCAAGAGAACAGCCCAAGGGTCATGGTGCCCCCAGCTGGACAACCCAGGGGCCAGTGGGACAGTCCCCAGAGCTGGCAACTGCCAGCTGAACTGTGGCAGCCTCCAGGAGAAGCGGAAAGGGGTTGGCCCTCCACGCCCCCCTCCGCCCCCGCCGTGTTCCAAGGCATAAGTGTTGATGGCGCAGCACAGGGCACGGAGGACAGCAACTCACCTTGAATGCAAAGGTCTCCCCAAAGTGTGGGTTCAGCGTCTGCCTGTGCACCTTGGTCTCGTGCCGCCTCCGCTTGTCTGGCAGCAGGTAGACTCGCACAATAGGGTCAGAGGAGCCACCCAGGTCCAAGGCCACCAGCCCCTCAGCTTTAAGATGCCCACCATCAGCTGTACAGAAATGGGAGGGTCAGCCCTAGTCTTAGTTTCCCTGTGGAGTCACCTCTAAAAGAGGCTAGACTCCCTGGGATCCCTTCTTCCCCACACCTACCTGGCCACTCTGGAAGTCATAATCCAGTGAGTACTGCAGACGTCCTAGCTCATGCTTCTCTGCCATCGGCTGTCCTAGCCCAGATGGCACCGGCTCCAGCTCCTCCACTTCTGGCTGCACCTTAACACCAGGAGCAAGGACAGGTGAGTTTTTCCCCTGATAGTGGAATCCTCCAGACCCAGAAGCCCAGGGAGACTCACAGGTCCCTCAGTTATTCCTGAGCACTTGCGGGTTAAGCAAAGTCTATGTTTGATTACTGATGTCTGCCACAGGCAGGACATAACCATGGCAACACAATGGTGTAGGATAATTGTTGGTGTTTGATTAGTGATGTCTGTGATGGAGGAGGGTAAAGGTGTAATGTACAGGTATTGCTTGTCCAGCCTAGACTAGGAAAACAAGTGCTGGTAGTGTCCCATTGCCTACCGGAAGGAGGCAGGAAATTTCATTTCACAAGCTAATGGATGTATTGGGGTTGTTGACCAAATCTCCATGTTGATTAGTGATCTTGCCACAGCAAAACATGGAGAAATGCCATGTTTATTGCATATGTGACATTCTTACCCAGAACAACAATGTAAGATTTTTTACCCTAAGCCGCCAATTTTCAAAATTTAGTGTGAATGAGAATTCCCCTGAGCAGTGTAGTAAACTGCATTCTCTTAAGAGGTTCTGATTCAGTAGGTCTGCACAGATCCAGAATTTGCTCTTTCACTGCTACTGGCTTAAGGGATGGAAATGGGGGCTGGGATCCCTGGACCCTAAAGAGCATCCCTTATGGGTAATAATTATAAGAGCAATTTGTTGAGAAGGGAGGAGGGGGGAATACTGTTGATAGTTCGAGTATGAACCCGAGGCTCAGAATGGGATAGTGAATTTCTTAGGGTCACACAGCTGGGAAATGTCTTCTCTGAGTTGGAAGCCTAAGATTTCCTGGCTCCCAGATGAATGGCCTCTTTCAACCACGTTTCTTTCACGCTTTCACACTAGCTTCCTCCCTCATCTCCTCGCCCCAAATCTGTTCTCCGCATCCTGACATCCATCTGCCCCTGCTCCTCTGCTACTCCAAACTCTGATGGGGCTCCCCGTTGCCCCAGTTACTGCTGAGCTCCTGATGCAGTTAATTGTGCCTTGGGTACCAGCTCAGAGGCCACCTCCTCTGGGAATCCTTGGATCCACCAGGCAGTCAGATGGCCTCTCTGTGTCCCAAATGTCCACACTGCCTCTGTGTGGCCCAGGCACCCCGCACTGCAAATATCTGTGTGTCTGATTTTCCCACCAGGGAGGAGGGAATTAAGTCTGGTCCACCTTCAGGTCCCCAGGCTCAGTTCAGGGCTGGGCACAGAGGGGAGACTAGTGATTAGGGTGGGTGTAGGAGGCCAGGAAGCCAGGACTGATGTTGCCAGGCCATGGGGAGGAGCAGAGAGGCAGGAAGGGGCAGGGCTGGGGGCTAGGCCGGGTCACACCTTGTCTATGTAATGCCGGCCCAGCTCCTTCACTTCCTGCAGGTGGACCTGGGCTTGGGCTTGGCTCTTCTTGCCCAAACGCCTTCCACAACGCTTCCGGTAGAGGCAGAAGCAGCAGCTCAAGACAAGGAAACTTGAGGCCAGCACGATGGTGGCCAGGGCCCAGGGCGGCACTGCGGAGGGTGAGGAGACAACAGCCATTGAAGCCCTGGGAAGCAATCTGGCAGATTCCATCAGGAGGGCACGTGCAAGCTGGCCTTGTTTCCCCTCCAGCCACTTCCATTTTATTTCTTACCAGTGTTTTTCTTACCACTGATCTCGCCTATAAAGCGATTTGATTGCCTAATCTGGGCTCACACCATCCGGATGTTCTTGTCTACGAGTCCCTGCCTCCCACCTCCACTCTAATTTCTGTTCAGCCCCTAATGCTTTGAGAAGCCCTGCCTCCCCCGAGCCTCAGTTTCCCTATCTTTAAGAGACAGGAGGCCCTTCCATTCCCCAGTCCTGGATCCCATTCTGCTCTACACCCCTGGTATGGTTCTGGGGGGGAGAGGGTGTATTCTTGCAAGCAAGTTTGCATTTCTTGTAGATTTCAGTCCAGGATTCCGAAGATGATCCCAACCGGTTGCAGCACACCAACCCGAGGACACCCGTCTGAACCCCGCCCTGGGACTGGCCAGGGGGTCTTGCTCACCAGGACTGTGGTTGATACGACTTGAGTCAGGAGGCGTGTCGGGCGCTGGAGGCCCCGGGGTTGGAGGCTCCGGAAACATGGCGGCGGGATCTTAGGGTCCTTTCTGTGGAGGCACCCAAGCGCCCTGGCCCCCCGACACCCACCCGGTGTCTCCATTGGAGCCGCCGAACAACAAAGAACTCCAACTCCCATCGGCCCCCTGGGCGTCCGGCCGCCCACGGGTTGGCCAGCCGCCGCGAGGCACGCTGGGGGTTGTAGTTTCAGGCTCCTCGCCACGGAGGGCGGGTCCGGGTGGACGCGAGGTGGACACCCTCCCTCCGAGGCCCCCGCGGGAATCCCGTGGACGTCTGCTCCCCCCGGGGCCGGAGCCGGAAGTGGGCCCGGGCTGGCGTGGGAACCCGCGCACCGGGTTGCCCAGAGCAACGGCTGGCTCCGCTCGGGCGGGGTGGGAGCTACACTGGTTACCCCGGCAACGGCCGGTTGCCACGGCAACGGGCGGGGCTGGCGCACGGAAACCCAGTCCCCACAGAGCAAGCTCGCGCCACCCGGGGGGCCCGAAGCCCAGACCCTGGGCTCCCCCGACCAGCCAGGGTGGGGCGGGGGCGGCCCTCCGTGGGCGCACGGCCGCTCCTGCCCTCTGGCCCGCGGAGCCGAGACTCGGTCCCCTCCCGCTCACCGGGGGGGCCGGCGGGGGGCTCGGCCTGGCGTCTCTCCCGCGCCCCCCGAGCGCGGCCTGACCACCTGCCCCGCGGCGCGCTCGACTCCGAACCCGGGTCTGCCCGGTTTGCGTCCGCCCTCGCCCCTCCGGGGCCTGCCTGCGCTGCCCCCGCGCCTCCCTCCGCCCGGCCCCTCGTCTGGGCGCCGTCTCCTGGGGTCCCGCACTCCCTCCCCCTGCCGCCCCCCCTTTGTCGCCACACCTGTCTCTAAAGCCCAGTCTCCCCGCCTCGGGCTCCAGCCTCCCGCTCCCTTTGTTGCTCCCTCCCAGCTTCTCCCGCTGCCAAGACCCCCAAACCCGGTACCCCCGGGGATGGAAATGCGGGCGAGGCTTAGGGAGGGGGTCCCGGCAGTTCCTACCTGCTCGGTAGCCAGACCGGACCCTCCCCGAGACGCGGTGGAGCCGGCCCCGCCCGGACCCCGCCCCCGCACGCGGGCGGGCGGCGCTGTCCCGGGTGCTGCCCGGGAGCTCGCGGGGCGGGGGCGAGGTGTGTGCGCGCCGGTGTGCGAGCGCGCGCGTGTGCGAGTGTGTCCTGTGCGCGCGCGAGTGTGTGCGAGTGTGAACGTGAGTGCGCCCGTGTGGGCGCGCGCGGGTGTCGGTTCTTTCTGGGTAGGTGGGGGGACCCGCTCCGCGCCTCGTCTGCCCCCAGCCAGGAGCCCCCTGAGCTCCTACCAATACTGATCCCGGCCCCCGCACTGCCAGCCTCGCGGCCCAGCCATCTGGCATCCAGGCCCCCAGCTGGCTACTTCCCACGCTGCCCAAAGGACAGGTGCCAGGATACCGCGCCCCTTTTGGAGACCCAGCTCTCGGCTATCCAAAAGTCAGGCCCGGCATGAAAGTCCCGCATGTCAGCCCTGACACACCCTCCCTTAAGTTCCCTTGCCACCAGCCCAGGGGCCAGCTCCCGGAGCCACGGCCAGTGGCCAGGCCCTCTACCCAGACACCTTCTCGGAGACACTCCAGGGTCCAAACCTACACGTTTCAGGAGCAAAATTGTGGGTCCCTCTAACCTCCCCGGTCAGCTTCATTACCTAAACATTGGGAATCCACCCGGACCCCAATTATTTCCAGATTCAGAATTCCACCGGGGTAAGCATTCCAGCAATTCAAGACAGTGATTTAATAAATTATGGGGTAAAGGAAAAACTATGTACAGGCACTGGGGTGCAGGAAAACCTGGGATTCTAGAAGACTGATTTGGTTTCTGAAGGAAGAGAGAGGCAGAGTCCCGCCTGCCGTGGCTTCTGGGACAGCCAGAATTCCGGAGCCCGGGCGCAATGCAGCCTGTTCCCGGGGCGCCTGAGGTCGGGCCTCCAGCCCCTACTTCAGAGAGCTAGGAAAGCCAAGCTCCGTCCCTTTCCTCCAAGGAAGCCGAGTCTGGGATCCCAGGTCCCCCCCGACGCTGGATGACAGCCCCCTGCCCTTTCCCGAGGAACAGGAAAAGACCGCAGCCTCCTCTTCCCGCAGGCCCGGGCCAGGACCCCGCCCTCAGCTCCGGCAGCCCCCAGAATGTGGGCCTAAGCAGGGGCTGCTGGGGCTGGGCCTCGGGGGCCTAGATGGCGGTTATGTTCTCGTACAGCAGGTTCTCGTAGGTGATCTCCTTCTCGGCCGCGTGCGCGGCTGAGTCTTGCAGAAACTGCAGGATGCACTGGTGCAGGAAGACGTACTGGGCCTGGGGGGAGCCGGTGTGAGGGCCTCCCACCACCCTGCCCCGCCCCACCCCCGTGCCCAGGGAAGCCCTCACCTCTGTCTGCACCATCAGCGGTCGGCTCCCCCTCATTTTCTTCACAAAGTTAAAGGGCCCCACGAGGCCCTCGCCCTCCAGCTGCCGCAGAAGGACGTCCAGGGCGATGAGGGTGCCCGTGCGCCCCACACCAGCACTAGGCGGGAACAGACAGGGTCAGGCGTGGGAGGACCTGGGGGCGCCGGGAATCAGGGTGTCCGGCCGGGTCCGTGGCATCACGTGGAGAGCCCGGCTGAGCCCCGAGAAGCACAGGCCCCAGCACCCGGCTGTCACACAGATCTTGCAACCAGAGCCGGGGCGCGAGACGCGACCGTAGGGCCCAGTCCCGCAGGGCCTCAGCCTCCCTGTCAGTCCCAATAGCGTCTTCTCAAGTGGTCGCAGCCGCAGACACAGCCGCCCGTCACGGAACTCACGGCGGCCTCTCAGGCTACCAGTAGTTGGGGGTGAGGTTCCACCCAGGGTTTTCACCCCCCAGGCCCCACACTTCTCGAGAGGGAACTGTGAGGACGAGCACCCAGGCCCGCGATCCCCCTCTGCCGGCTGTGGCTTGGATCCCCTCCACCTGCAGCCCCAGGGCAAGTTCCTGGGGCACCGGCCTTTCGGGACAGGACGCCCAGGCAGCTAGGTCCTGGCTTCCCGGTGGCTTCCTGTTGGCCTGATGCACGTCCTAAGGCGACGGCACCAAGGGACGAGAAGGAGCTGACATCACTTGCCCGCAGGGCGGGTGGGAGACGGGCCAGGCAGGTCCCTGGCCAGGCCGGGCGGTGACAGAGGCGGCCCAGCAGCACTTGGAGAGACACCATGTCAGCCTAAAGCTTCCGGCCCGTCCCCGGGGTCCCGCAGCAGCCTCTGTCCTGCCCCAGAGCGTATCCCCCCGCAGTCACGCCCACCCTCCCCTGCCCAGCACAGGTGCTGCTCCGGCGGCGGGGCGGGGCGGGGGGAGCTCCCCCACTCTGGGTGCTCCGGCTGTCTCCCGGGGGCAGACGCTGAGTGGCCGTGGTGTCTGGCTCCCCTCCAGGTTTGGCCCTGTGCTGGGGACACCCTGAGGGGATGGGGCAGGGGCTCAGCAGAGAGCTTCAGGGCACACCCCTCCCGGACATCAGCCAGAAAGGAGCATGGGTTTGACCCAGACTGAGGCTTCCCGGGATCCTCCTCGGGTCTGCATTGGGGGGACATCTTTGTGGAGCCGGAGGGAGCGTCGGAACCCAGCGAGACCGTGGGGGAGGCTCCCCACAGAGCCCCAGTGTCTGCTGCCACGGAGCCCCATTTCCGAGCATGCTGGCATTTCAGGGACACCTCAGGGGAAGCAGCCCGGCGGCCTCTCCCCCCCACACACCCCAGTGCTCCTGGGGCCTCGCCCCTTTCCTGTCCTCCCTCTCACCCCTCGCCCAGCCTCCCCTCAGCTGCTGCGGGGCCCCCTGGGGAGGTGGGACCCAGACACCGCCCAGCCCCGGGGCGCTCACCTGCAGTGCACAATGGGCGGGCCTCCCCCCATGGCCTCCTTCTCATTCTGGTTCAGCCACTCCCGGAGCACCTTCCAGAAGGCCAGCACAGTGTCGGGGGCGTGGGGCACGCCGTGGTCTGGCCAGGTCAGGTAATGGAACTGGCGCACGAACAGCTCCTTCTCCTCCCGCACCTGGGGGGGCGGGCTGGGCTGTCTCCAGCTATTGGGGCACCCCATGGCACATCTCCATGCTGGGGGGGCGGGCGGGACTGGGGGCTCTGGGAGGGGCTTCCTGGAGCGGGGCGGGCAGGGCGGGCGGGGCTTACATGGCGGAGCTGCAGGCTGCGCACTGCCCAGTTGTCCGTCACCTCCTCGCCGGTCAGGGTCACCCGCAGGTCTCCGTGGGTACAGGGCTTGGTGTCGAGGGGCCAGTAGTGCTCGCACTTCACCTGGAGGAGGATGGGTCAGGGAATGGCAGGCCCTGAGCAGCCGCCCCTCTGCCAGGGGTGCAGGAGGGGATCCCCCACCCGGGGCAGGGCAGAACTGCCGGGCAGCCACGCAGACCCCTTCCCAAGGCCGTGGGCCTCAGCGTCACCCCGCATGTGGATGAGGGGCCCTTGGGGCGGGGAGAGCTGGGGTCCTGCGGGAGGCCAGCCCCTCTGGGTGGGCACCCGGCGTCCTCACCCGCCCGGACTCGATGCAGTTGGTCAGCATAACCAGCGTGCGGCTCTGCTGCTCCCACACCAGGCGCCAGAAGTCACCCACCGTCTGGGGCAGGGGCCCCTGGGTGGCAATGAACTCCTGGGAGCTAGAGAGACCCTGGGGAGGCGACAGATGAAGGGTGACCCCACGGCCAGCTCCTCCTGCCCGCCCCCCAGGGCCCCGCCCCGCCTCACCGGGATGAAGCTGGCGTTGATGTAGTCGGAGCCCGGCTCCCCGGAGACGGGCTTCAGGGCCACCCGCGACCAGTCGTCTAGGGAGAGGGCAGACCGTGAGGACAGGGCCCAGGAGCAGCCTGGGGCGCGGCGGGGACCCAGGACAACAGCCGGGGCATGTGGACTCGAGGGAGGGGGCCTGGGCAGGAGGCCTGTCCTCTGCGGGGCCGGGGCCGGGGCCGGGGCCGGGCGCTGGGACACAGCCGCGGGACTGAGCTCTCACAGGGCAGGACGTTCCTGTAGCGGTTCTTGGCGCTGTTTTCCGGGGCCGAGGCCACCGTCTGCGGCTGGTCCCGCACTACCAGGGCCAATTGCTGCGGTGGAGACAGAGGGGGGCTGAGCTTTCCCCACCGCCCCCTGAGAAACCTCGATGTCCCCTGGCCTTCCCTGGGACGCCCATCTACAGCTCTGGCACCCCAGAATTCTGCAGCACCGGGGGCATCTGGGGAGATTTGGGGGGCAGCAGGGACTGGAGAGGTAGGCCAGAGAGGTGTGTGGGCAGGCGCCTGCTTGGGGCTGACTTCGGGGAGTCACAGGCCAGTGTGCCCGGGCCCCGCAGCAGCTGCTCTGGAGCTCCCGGGCGGCTGCCCCACCTGGTACTCCTCCGCGAAGCCGCAGTTGCTGTCCTTCTCGTTCTCCTTGACGTGGCCCGCGAAGTCGGCGGCGGAGATGTTGGTGAGGAAGCTGGGGGACGGGTAAGGCCTTCAAGCGCCTTGCATCCTGAGCCCACAGGAGGCGAAGGGTCTGGCCTTTGTTTTTACACCCCCAAGACCTATTTACCTCGTGACTGGCTGTTTGGAGCTTTGGACCCCTGCCCCACCAGCCCCTCTCCTGCTCACACGGCCTCTGTCTGCTCCCCAGACTCTCGCTCAGCGCACGCCTGACAGCCCACCCTGGCTGCCACAGATGGCAGCATCCCCTTTCTCGGGGCTGAGTAATACTCCATTGCAGACACGCGGTGCTTCCTTTGTCCACCCATCTGCTGCGGGGCGCAGAGGCTGTTCCTAGGGCGCGGCTATTTGAACTCTGCCGAGGTGAATCTGAGGGCGCGGGGATCTTGTCCAGACACTGATTTCATTTCCTCCGGAGAAAAACCCGGAATGGGCGGCTGGATCCAAAAGGTGGTTTTGGTTTTTCAATCCACCTCTGGGTATGTACCCGAAAGAACCGAAAGCGGATCTCGGAGAGACATCCGTTCCTCATGGCCATAGCGGTGTTACCCGTGCTGGACAAGATGGCAGCTGCCACGTGTCCACCGGTGGACGGGGGACGAGCAGGCAGCCTGGCCCCAAAAGGAGTATTACTCAGCCTTGAAAACTAGGACACCCCTGGGGAGAAGCTGCCATCCGAGGGTGATGACCCAGCTCCTGGAAGACAGGGCCCCAGCCACGTGGGTGAGCAGGAGGCACAGGAGCCAGCTGGTCCCCCTGTCCTGGCCAGTGCTGGCCCAGGGCGGCGGCAGCCCCAGACAACCTGCTTCCGGGCCAGGATCTGTTTCTCTGTAGTGAAAGTGGATACTGCCTGCTGGGGCCCAGTGACAGGAAGCCCTGCCTGCAGGAGGGGGGGAGGAGAGGAGCAGACAGGGCCACTGCACCGAAGGCCGCTGGGCCGCACCCGCTGGAGCAGTGAGGTGGCGAACGCATGTCGTGTGCATCTTACACAACTGAGCTTTCTTCACCTCGGCGCCCTCCCGCCCCGCGACCGCACAGCTGCCCCCCTTTAGCTTTCTCCTTTTCCTAACAAGCCTGTCCTTTAAAATGCAAAAAATATTAACTCAGAAGAGAAGAAGGTGCTTCTTGTCCGCGGAGCTTCTCCCCTCCTGGGCTCCCTCCCACCCCCCCGGCCCCCAGGAACTCGCTGCTCCCTCTTCATGTTCAGGAGTCTCCCGCCCTCGCTCCGGCCCGGAACCGTCTCTGAAGCCCCTCGACTCAGCCCCGGCGTCCACCCAGCCAGCGCCGCGCTCCAGCGGCTGCCTAAACCCACCTGCCCGCCTTCGAGGGCTGTCACAGCCCGGGAGCCCCTCGAGCCCACTCAAGCCGCGCACACCAGTCGGTCCTCGAGCCGCGCGCCCAGCCGGGCCCGTCCACGCCCGAGGAAAGCGCCAGAACAGCGCCCCAGCGGCCAGAGGCCCCGTCCATCCCGGGCCGCCCCGCAGCGCTGGACCCTGCCCTGCGGGCCCCGCCTTCCCGGCAGAGCTGCGGGCTGAGCCTTGACCCGCAGGCTGCTCATGCAAAGCAGCGGCCGCCCTCGCCGCCTTCCGCTGGGCAGTGGCGGATCCACGCTTCCCTTTCCAAAGTCCCGCTGTCTCCCTGGCGTCTTATCTCCCGTTCCAAAGGCCGCCCAGTCCACCCGCACGTGACCGCTCGGCCGCCGGTCCTGCCCACGGCCGCCGCACGCACACCCTCTCCCGGGCTGGCCGCCGTCCCGAGTCTGCCCATCTCGGCACCCACACTTCTCACGGCTCGCCCTGGCCACGGGCCACCCGGCCCCGCGCCTCTGGTGTCCGAGCCCGCGGGCAGCCCATGTCCTCGCGGGCACCGCACGCCCCCCGGGTGCTGGAGGGCCGCCCGCCACCGCACACGCGCAGAGGGCAGCGTCGTGGGAGCAGGCCCCACGCGCCCCACGCGGGGACAGGGCTGGTCAGCGCCGCCGGGAGGGTCCGGACAGGGTGGCGGCAGCGGGAAGCTGGCCGTCGCCTTCCCTCCGGTGGCGCCTGCTCCAGGCCCGCTCAGCGCTTTCCTGGTCCCGCCCCGCCCCGCCCCGGCCCCGGCCCTGGGCCGCGGTGACTGCTGACCCAGACCAGCGGGTGCTGGGCACTGGCCAAGCCCTCCTGACGGCCGGTGGGCCCGCCGAATGCCCCTTCCGCGTCTGGAGCATCTCAAGCATCCAACAGGCATCAACAAGCACCCAAGACGCGCCCCCCGGGATGCCACCCCAGCCCCTCCCCGCGCCCAGCCTTCCCACTCGGCCTCTCAGGGGTCGGGACCCTCCCAGGCGCCAGCCCGTCTCCAGCCGCACGTGTGGACACTCAGACGCCAGCCAGGCTGCCCCGCTGCCCACTCCCTGCCACGCCGCAGGCCGTCTCCTCTCGCGGGCTCTGCTGCCCACGACTCCGCAGGCTGCCGAGGGGGACGCTGCGGGCGGCAAGAGCTGCCCTTTCGGTTCTCCACGACGCTTCCTCCGCCCCTTCCTGCCCGCCTGACTGTCTCGGTCTCTTCCAACCCTCCAACTCCCATCTCGGTCTAAAGCCGAAGCCCAACTCACAACTCCGAGGCCTGGCCGACGGGGCGGCCCCCACCCCCGAGCTCGGCCCCTGCTCCCCGCGGCCCAGGCTCAGCCTCGGACGCCGAGCTCTGCGCGCCTGCTGCCCCGCTGGCCAGGCAGAGGCGTCCTCCCGGGCTCAGCCAGAGCCTCCCAGGAGGGACACCGCGCCCGGCTCCGTGGGGCCGCCGTCCCCAAGACGCTGTCCGCGCCTCCTGCTCGCTGGCCTCACAGCCCTGCTGCCCGTCCACTCCCCGCGGTGGAGGACGCCCCTCGGGGCCAGGCTCTGCCGGCTCACGTCCCTGACCTGCCAGCGCCGGGCTGGGAAAGGCGCTCAGCTGTGATTATGCTGAAGGGGTCCGTGGGTCAGCAGAAGCCCCAGGGCTGAGGGATGAGGCTGAGGCCGTGCCAAGGCCACTTAGGGCGTGGGGACCCCGCAGCGCGGCCTTTGAGCCCTTCTCAAAAGTACTCAGAGAGCGCCTCCCCCGGTGGGGCAGCGGTTGAGCGCGGGGCTGTGAAGCTGCCCACAGCCTCTGCAGCGCTGCCTGTTTGACCCCCGGCCGCCAGGCGAGGTTCCCACATGGCGTGCAGACCTCTCCTGCCGCCCGCTGCTCCCCTCAGCAGTGTGCTTCGGTCCTTCTGCCTGCTCTGCTCCCCGCTCTGGCTCTGGTGAATTCTCTCACCCTCCGCGCTTCTGACTGTGCCCAGTGCTTGTATGAATAAATAAATAAATCTTTAAAAAAAAAAAAAAGTACGCAGAGGGATAGTGGCCTGACCCCGGCCCTCCAGTAGGCAGCACCCACCTGATTCCGTGGATACCCCCCGCGAATCTTGTGCTCACCTGAAGGCCGGGGTCCTGGGAGCCGACCTCGCACTCTTCATGCGCCAGGGAAGGAAGCTCCTGGGAGGGTCAGGGAGAGGCTGGAACCAGGGTCCCATCCTGCCTGCCCACCCCCCAGGATCAGCCGGCCGAGCCTCACCTCCTCTTCAGGAAGAAAACCAGCAGGAACACCAGGAGGAGCAGCAGGACCCCGCAAATGGAGCCCACGATGACCCCTGGGTGGGGGGGGGGTGGTGGCAGAGCCGTGAGCCAAGAAGCCAAGCCCAGCCGGCCTGTCCCCAGCCTGTCCCCGCCTGACCAGCGGCCTGAGGTCTAGGGAGAGCGGGGGGGGGGGGGGAGGGGCATGCGCCCCCAGCTTGGCACCAGCGTTCAGCTCCCAGAGCCCATGGTCCTTGGGTGACATGCCCTGGTCCTCCCCTGTGTGGCCAATCCCGGGGTCCACAGTGAGGGCAGCCCAGGGGGGTCCACACATAGGTCCCTGCGCTCCAGGGCGGGGCCCTGGCACATGGTGGGGGGCCGAGGCCACGCCACACCCTAGGGCTGGCCACACAGCCCAACCCCATCCTCTGCTGGGCGGGAGCTGGCGTTCCTGCGCCCAGCGGCTCTTCCTCTGGGGGTCCTGGCCCAGGGGCCTCCCTACGGGGCTGCTGGGGCTGGCGGCGCTGAGCACTTGGGGCTGGGCCACCGCTCAGGCCCGTCCCGCCCCCGGCCATGGATGGCCTCCAGCATGTCAGCCATGGGCTGGCGGAAGCACCTGGGGCTGGCGTCTGGGGTGGCTCCGATGAGGCCCGGCCCGAGCTGCAACCTGCGTGAGCCCGCGGACTGCGCCGGGACAGGATGGAGCCGCGGAGGCCCAGAGCAGGCGGGACGGGGCCGAGCGCAGACAAGGGGCCGCCGGGGCTGGCCGGAGACCTGGGGCTCAGAGGTGCCAGCGCATGGGGCAGCTGCTTCCACGGGCCAGCGCAGCGGCGCAGCCGGCAGGGCCGCGGCTCCCACAGGCAGCTGGCGCGAGGGCCCTGACGCCTGGGGCGGCCGCGGCGAGTCCGGCGCCGAGAAGACCCGCCCGGCCGCTCACCTGTGCTGTCCGTGTGGCAGGTCACGGCGGCGGACCAGGCCAGCTCCCCGTCCCACACGGTGGCCACGCGGGCCTGGTAGGGGCGCGCGGGCTGCAGCCCCGACACGTCCACGCCTCTCCCGCCGCAGGAGGAGTTGTCCTGGTCCGGGGGCAGGTGCCGCCCGTCCACCTCCAGGCGGAAGGCCTCGAAGCCGCCCAGGGGGCAGGACAAGACCAGCACCACGCCGGAGCCCCAGGGGGTGCTGTCGCAGGAGATGATGTTGGCCGGGGCCGGCGCTGGGGGAACAGGAGGCGTCGGCAGGGCTGGCGGGGTTGGCTGCCGCCCCCACCCCACCAGGGGCCCAGCTCCCGGAGACCAGACACCCATACTCCCTCTTCCAGGCGCCGCGGGGCCAGCAAACTACAACTCCCAGGAGCCCCGGGAGGCTGTGCCCCGCAGCGTGTGGAGCAGGGCCCCGCGGCCTGCTGGAACTTGTAGTCCACTCACGGTCCCCGACCCTGCGAGCAAGCCCTGGCTGGCTCACCCGTGGACGCCTGCAGGATGTGGGGGGCGCCCAGCACGTCGTAGCTCTCAGCGCGCACACTGAAGGCATACGGTGTCCCGGGGGTCAGGCCCTCCACCCTGTACGACAGCTCAGTCGTGTTGTGGTAGTCGAGGGCCCACTGGACAATGTAGTTGTAGCGTGGCCCCGGGGGGCCCTCCGGAGCCTCCCACTGCAGCGTGACCCAGTAGTTGCTCCGAGTCTCGTTCCTCAGCCCTGTGACCTGGTTGGGAGCTGACAAGGGAGGACAGAGGCGCCCTAAGGGACTCACACATGGCCTGCCGCCCGCCAGCGGAGCTCGGGCACAGGGGTGGGCAATAGGAGGCCTGGGCTGCTGACTCAGTTCGGCGGGGGTGGGGGCATGGAGGCTCCGTGGACATGTCCAGTCTCTCCTGGGGTCACCCTGAAGGTCCAGTCCAAGAGGCCTAAGGAGTCACACCCAGACTCCTTCCCTGAGGGGCGTCGGCCATGTGCACCGCCCCCCTAGCCAGGAGACAGGAGGGGAGAGGAGCAGGTGTGGGCTGGGGTCCTCACCTGTGTAATGGGTGATATTCGCTTCGCTGCCGTTCACCCCGTTCTTCTCAGCCCACACGGAAAACTCATACCGGGACACGGGGGCCAGGCCCCCCACTGTGTGATTGGGGTGTGATGTGTTTTGGGTCCCGGCTTTGCCATCCTCTCCAGTCCACTGGACCCAGTAGGTGTAGTTCTGCAGGCCCCGGCCATCGGGGCTGGTCCAGCTGAGGTTGATGGAGGTGGGGGTCTGGGTCACCACACTCAGGTCCCCAACTATGTTGGGGGCTAGAAGTTGGGAAGAAAGACCAGAGTGAGAGGGAGCAGACCGGGAGGCATGCTCCGTGGCCATCTCTGGCCCTGAAATTGCAGCCCGGCCCCACCACCGGTCCAGGAGATGGGGTGAGTGGCCTGGGCCGGGCTCCTGGGCTCTGAGGGACCCTGGCCACAAGGGTCTTGTAAGTGCCGGTTCAGGCTGAGTCGGGGGGCCTGAACGTGGCCCCGTCACCGGCTCTGGGTGCTGACCCTCCCTCTACGCGCTGCATCTGGGCCGCAAGAGTCCAGGACAAGACAAGTCAGGGCTGGGGAGAGTCGGGGGTCCAAGGGGCCACATACTAAGGACCGCATCCCCCAGAGCTCAGTGACTTGCCTTTGCCCAGACTCAGCCCAGGATGCTCAGCCTAGTTATGGTCCAGACACCCGCCCCCAGCTCAGGGGGCCATGGACGAGCCTGGACGTGGGCAGTCTCCCCGGGGTCTCCCTGAAGGTCAGTCCAATGAGGCTGAGGCCCTACTGTGTGCAGATCGAAGAGGACTTAGAAAACCTTCCCCTGATGGGTCTCTGCCATTGCAACCCCCCCAGGGGAGTGAAGAGGAGAGGAGCAGGTGTGGGCTGGGGTCCTCACCTGTGTAATGGGTGATATTCGCTTCGCTGCCGTTCACCCCGTTCTTCTCAGCCCACACGGAAATCTCATACCGGGACGCGGGGCCCAGGCCCTCCACTGTGTGATTGGGGTGTGATGTGTTTTGGGTCCCGGCTTTGCCATCCTCTCCAGCCCACCGGACCCAGTAGGTGTAGTTCTGCCGGCCCTGGTCATCGGGGCTGGTCCAGCTGAGGGTGATGGTGGTGGAGGTCTGGGTCACCACCTTCAGGTCCCCAACTATGTTGGGGGCTAGAAGTTGGGAAGAAAGACCAGAGTCAGAGGGAGCAGGTCAGGAGGACATTCAGTGGCCAGTTTTGGTTCTGAGCCTTCAGCCCAGCCCCAGCACTGCTCCAGGCGATGGGGTGAGTGGGCTGGACCTGAACTCTAATGTGCAGCTGATCACGTGGATTTGCAAAATTCAGGTTCTTCTTTTTTCCCCCTAAGATTTATTTATTTTTGCTAGAAGAACTGGGGTGCAGGCCAGAGTTGTGGGGGTGAGAGGATTCACCAGAGACAGAGTGGGGAGCAGAACAGGTGGATCCACTGAGATACACTGCTGAGGGGAGCCGCAGGGAGACAGGAGAGGTCTGCTGTGCCAAGTGGGTAGCTCCCTGGCCGGGGATCGAACTCAGGCCACAGTGGCTGGCGACTGCTAAGTGGAGCTGAGACTAACCCCTGCACCACCAGGGAGGCCCAAAATGCAGGTTCTGACAGAGAGCGGCCCTATGACCCGCTCTCGGGATGTGACCCTCCTCCACGCCCCTCACTGTAGTAGCAAGAGTCCAGACTAGCACTTTTCTACGAGGTTCAGCCATGAAGGACACCCTCCCCCAGGTCCAGCTACAGCACCAGCTCTGGGGGTGACGGGTCAGGGAGCCTCAACCCAGCTCCTGGGTTGAGCGCGTGAGCTTAGACCTGATTTACCACCACGGCCCTAACGGTCAGGGCCACAGTCACTGGCGGCGGCCATGGTGGGCTGTGGGGTCTGGGGCAGGGAGCTGGGCGCAGGCGCTGGGCTGTGGTCTGGACATCCCTCAAGGACCAGACAACTCAGGGACTGGGGAGACTTGGGGGCCCAGGGACCACATTCCACAGGACCGCGTCCCACAGAGCTCAGCGACTTGCCTTTGCCCTGTCTCAGCCCAGGATGCTGAGCGTCATCCCCGAATATCACGCTCTAGAACGTTCTCCCCACAAGGTCCTAAGTCAGAGGTGGGTGGCAGGGGCCGTGGACGAGCCTAGACACGGCCAGTCTCTCCTGGGGTCACCCTGAAGGTCAGTCCAAGGGCCCAAAGGAGTCCCACGAGGACACCTTCCCTGTGGGGCGTCTGCCCTGTGCTCCCCCCAGGAGAGAAGAGGAGAGGAGCAGGTGTGGGCTGGGGTCCTCACCTGTGTAATGGGTGATATTCGCTTCGCTGCCGTTCACCCCGTTCTTCTCAGCCCACACGGAAAACTCATACCGGGACACGGGGGCCAGGCCCTCCACTGTGTGACTGGGGTGTGATGTGTTTTGGGTCCCGGCTTTGCCATCCTCTCCAGCCCACCGGACCCAGTAGGTGTAGTTCTGCAGGCCCCGGCCATCGGGGCTGGTCCAGCTGAGGGTGATGGTGGTGGGGGTCTGGGTCACCACACTCAGGTCCCCAACTTTGTTGGGAGCTAGAAGTTGGGAAGAAAGACCAGAGTAGAAGGAGCAGAGCAGGAGGCATGCTCCGTGGCCATCTCTGGCCCTGAACCTTGCAGCCCAGCCCCACCACCGGTCCAGGAGATGGGGTGAGTGGCCTGGGCTGGGCTCCTGGGCTCTGAGGGACCCTGGCCACGAGGGTCTTGTAGGTGCCGGTTCAGGCTGAGTTGGGGAGCCTGAGCTGGCCCTGTCACCGGCTCTGGGTGCTGTCCCTCCCTCTACGCACTGCACCTGGGCAGCAAGAGTCCAGGACAAGACAAGTCAGGGCTGGGGAGAGTCGGGGGTCCGAGGGGCCACATACTAAGGACCGCGTCCCCCAGAGCTCAGTGACTTGCCTTTGCCCAGACTCAGCCCAGGATGCTCAGCCTAGTTATGGTCCAGACACCCGCCCCCAGCTCAGGGGGCCATGGACGAGCCTGGACGTGGGCAGTCTCCCCGGGGTCTCCCTGAAGGTCAGTCCAATGAGGCTGAGGCCCTACTGTGTGCAGATCGAAGAGGACTTAGAAAACCTTCCCCTGATGGGTCTCTGCCATTGCAACCCCCCCAGGGGAGTGAAGAGGAGAGGAGCAGGTGTGGGCTGGGGTCCTCACCTGTGTAATGGGTGATATTCGCTTCGCTGCCGTTCACCCCGTTCTTCTCAGCCCACACGGAAATCTCATACCGGGACGCGGGGCCCAGGCCCTCCACTGTGTGATTGGGGTGTGATGTGTTTTGGGTCCCGGCTTTGCCATCCTCTCCAGCCCACCGGACCCAGTAGGTGTAGTTCTGCCGGCCCTGGTCATCGGGGCTGGTCCAGCTGAGGGTGATGGTGGTGGAGGTCTGGGTCACCACCTTCAGGTCCCCAACTATGTTGGGGGCTAGAAGTTGGGAAGAAAGACCAGAGTCAGAGGGAGCAGGTCAGGAGGACATTCAGTGGCCAGTTTTGGTTCTGAGCCTTCAGCCCAGCCCCAGCACTGCTCCAGGCGATGGGGTGAGTGGGCTGGACCTGAACTCTAATGTGCAGCTGATCACGTGGATTTGCAAAATTCAGGTTCTTCTTTTTTCCCCCCTAAGATTTATTTATTTTTGCTAGAAGAACTGGGGTGCAGGCCAGAGTTGTGGGGGTGAGAGGATTCACCAGAGACAGAGTGGGGAGCAGAACAGGTGGATCCACTGAGATACACTGCTGAGGGGAGCCGCAGGGAGACAGGAGAGGTCTGCTGTGCCAAGTGGGTAGCTCCCTGGCCGGGGATCGAACTCAGGCCACAGTGGCTGGCGACTGCTAAGTGGAGCTGAGACTAACCCCTGCACCACCAGGGAGGCCCAAAATGCAGGTTCTGACAGAGAGCGGCCCTATGACCCGCTCTCGGGATGTGACCCTCCTCCACGCCCCTCACTGTAGTAGCAAGAGTCCAGACTAGCACTTTTCTACGAGGTTCAGCCATGAAGGACACCCTCCCCCAGGTCCAGCTACAGCACCAGCTCTGGGGGTGACGGGTCAGGGAGCCTCAACCCAGCTCCTGGGTTGAGCGCGTGAGCTTAGACCTGATTTACCACCACGGCCCTAACGGTCAGGGCCACAGTCACTGGCGGCGGCCATGGTGGGCTGTGGGGTCTGGGGCAGGGAGCTGGGCGCAGGCGCTGGGCTGTGGTCTGGACATCCCTCAAGGACCAGACAACTCAGGGACTGGGGAGACTTGGGGGCCCAGGGACCACATTCCACAGGACCGCGTCCCACAGAGCTCAGCGACTTGCCTTTGCCCTGTCTCAGCCCAGGATGCTGAGCGTCATCCCCGAATATCACGCTCTAGAACGTTCTCCCCACAAGGTCCTAAGTCAGAGGTGGGTGGCAGGGGCCGTGGACGAGCCTAGACACGGCCAGTCTCTCCTGGGGTCACCCTGAAGGTCAGTCCAAGGGCCCAAAGGAGTCCCACGAGGACACCTTCCCTGTGGGGCGTCTGCCCTGTGCTCCCCCCAGGAGAGAAGAGGAGAGGAGCAGGTGTGGGCTGGGGTCCTCACCTGTGTAATGGGTGATATTCGCTTCGCTGCCGTTCACCCCGTTCTTCTCAGCCCACACGGAAAACTCATACCGGGACACGGGGGCCAGGCCCTCCACTGTGTGACTGGGGTGTGATGTGTTTTGGGTCCCGGCTTTGCCATCCTCTCCAGCCCACCGGACCCAGTAGGTGTAGTTCTGCAGGCCCCGGCCATCGGGGCTGGTCCAGCTGAGGGTGATGGTGGTGGGGGTCTGGGTCACCACACTCAGGTCCCCAACTTTGTTGGGAGCTAGAAGTTGGGAAGAAAGACCAGAGTAGAAGGAGCAGAGCAGGAGGCATGCTCCGTGGCCATCTCTGGCCCTGAACCTTGCAGCCCAGCCCCACCACCGGTCCAGGAGATGGGGTGAGTGGCCTGGGCTGGGCTCCTGGGCTCTGAGGGACCCTGGCCACGAGGGTCTTGTAGGTGCCGGTTCAGGCTGAGTTGGGGAGCCTGAGCTGGCCCTGTCACCGGCTCTGGGTGCTGTCCCTCCCTCTACGCACTGCACCTGGGCAGCAAGAGTCCAGGACAAGACAAGTCAGGGCTGGGGAGAGTCGGGGGTCCGAGGGGCCACATACTAAGGACCGCGTCCCCCAGAACTCAGTGACTTGCCTTTGCCCAGACTCAGCCCAGGATGCTCAGCCTAGTTATGGTCCAGACACCCGCCCCCAGCTCAGGGGGCCATGGACGAGCCTGGACGTGGGCAGTCTCCCCGGGTCTCCCTGAAGGTCAGTCCAATGAGGCTGAGGCCCTACTGTGTGCAGATCGAAGAGGACTTAGAAAACCTTCCCCTGATGGGTCTCTGCCATTGCAACCCCCCCAGGGGAGTGAAGAGGAGAGGAGCAGGTGTGGGCTGGGGTCCTCACCTGTGTAATGGGTGATATTCGCTTCGCTGCCGTTCACCCCGTTCTTCTCAGCCCACACGGAAATCTCATACCGGGACGCGGGGCCCAGGCCCTCCACTGTGTGATTGGGGTGTGATGTGTTTTGGGTCCCGGCTTTGCCATCCTCTCCAGCCCACCGGACCCAGTAGGTGTAGTTCTGCCGGCCCTGGTCATCGGGGCTGGTCCAGCTGAGGGTGATGGTGGTGGAGGTCTGGGTCACCACCTTCAGGTCCCCAACTATGTTGGGGGCTAGAAGTTGGGAAGAAAGACCAGAGTCAGAGGGAGCAGGTCAGGAGGACATTCAGTGGCCAGTTTTGGTTCTGAGCCTTCAGCCCAGCCCCAGCACTGCTCCAGGCGATGGGGTGAGTGGGCTGGACCTGAACTCTAATGTGCAGCTGATCACGTGGATTTGCAAAATTCAGGTTCTTCTTTTTTCCCCCCTAAGATTTATTTATTTTTGCTAGAAGAACTGGGGTGCAGGCCAGAGTTGTGGGGGTGAGAGGATTCACCAGAGACAGAGTGGGGAGCAGAACAGGTGGATCCACTGAGATACACTGCTGAGGGGAGCCGCAGGGAGACAGGAGAGGTCTGCTGTGCCAAGTGGGTAGCTCCCTGGCCGGGGATCGAACTCAGGCCACAGTGGCTGGCGACTGCTAAGTGGAGCTGAGACTAACCCCTGCACCACCAGGGAGGCCCAAAATGCAGGTTCTGACAGAGAGCGGCCCTATGACCCGCTCTCGGGATGTGACCCTCCTCCACGCCCCTCACTGTAGTAGCAAGAGTCCAGACTAGCACTTTTCTACGAGGTTCAGCCATGAAGGACACCCTCCCCCAGGTCCAGCTACAGCACCAGCTCTGGGGGTGACGGGTCAGGGAGCCTCAACCCAGCTCCTGGGTTGAGCGCGTGAGCTTAGACCTGATTTACCACCACGGCCCTAACGGTCAGGGCCACAGTCACTGGCGGCGGCCATGGTGGGCTGTGGGGTCTGGGGCAGGGAGCTGGGCGCAGGCGCTGGGCTGTGGTCTGGACATCCCTCAAGGACCAGACAACTCAGGGACTGGGGAGACTTGGGGGCCCAGGGACCACATTCCACAGGACCGCGTCCCACAGAGCTCAGCGACTTGCCTTTGCCCTGTCTCAGCCCAGGATGCTGAGCGTCATCCCCGAATATCACGCTCTAGAACGTTCTCCCCCCACAAGGTCCTAAGTCAGAGGTGGGTGGCAGGGGCCGTGGACGAGCCTAGACACGGCCAGTCTCTCCTGGGGTCACCCTGAAGGTCAGTCCAAGGGCCCAAAGAAGTCCCACGAGGACACCTTCCCTGTGGGGCGTGCCCTGTGCTCCCCCCAGAGAGAAGAGGAGAGGAGAGGAGCAGTGTGTGGGCTGGGGTCCTCACCTGTGTAATGGGTGATATTCGCTTCGCTGCCGTTCACCCCATTCTTCTCAGCCCACACGGAAAACTCATACCGGGACGCGGGGGCCAGGCCCTCCACTGTGTGACTGGGGTGTGATGTGTTTTGGGTCCCGGCTTTGCCATCCTCTCCAGCCCACCGGACCCAGTAGGTGTAGTTCTGCAGGCCCCGCCATCGGGGCTGGTCCAGCTGAGGGTGATGGTGGTGGGGGTCTGGGTCACCACACTCAGGTCCCCTACTTTGTGGGGGCTAGAAATTGGGAAGAAAGACCAGAGTCGGGGGCAGCAGACAGTGGGGACTGTCCTGCCATTTTGGCCCTGACGCCCCCAGTCCCGCCCTCACCCCTGAACCAGGAGATCGGGTGAGAGGGCTGGACCCAAACTCTTATGTGCCACTCTGCCGCGGACCAGCACAGCAGTAGACGGTGAGGCCACCTCAGGGTTGAGAGAAGCGTGCAGGGTGGTCAGGGCGTCGGCAAAAGAAATGACACACAGACACACTTCAAGAGTGAAAATCTGAGTGTCATTTTCTTTGAGTTTGTGACCAGTATATATATGTTTTCCAAAAGCACAGGAATGAATATCAAAGAAATTAGCTTGCTCATGGGCTCAGTCTATCACCATCAGGGAGGTGATCTACCTCCATCAGGGAGGTGATCTACCTCCATCAGGGAGGTGATCTACCTCCATCAGGGAGGTGATCTACCTCCATCAGGGAGGTGATCTACCTCCATCAGGGAGGTGATCTACCTCCCTGATGGTGATAGACTGAGCCCATGAGCAAGCTAATTTCATTGATATTCATTCCTGTGCTTTTGGAAAACATATATATACTGGTCACAAACTCAAAGAAAATTACACTCAGATTTTCACTCTTGAAGTGTGTCTGTGTGTCATTTCTTTCGCCGACACCCTGACCACCCTGCACGCTTCTCTCAACCCTGAGGTGGCCTCACCGTCTACTGCTGTGCTGGTCCGCGGCACCACTCACCACGGGGGACCTTATGCAAGGACAGGCTCCCCCCTGAGGAATGAGGGGGCGCTGAGTGCGCGCTGTCACCAGCTCTGGGTGCTGACCCTCCCTCTACGCACCGCACTGGAGCAGCAAGAGTCCGGCACTTTCCAGCAGAGCTGGAGGACACCCCCCCCGGGTCCAGCTACAGGCCAGCCCTGCGGGCGACGCGTCGGGGAGCCTCAACCCAGCTCCGGAGCACGTGCGCTGAGACCTGATTTGCCACCGCGGCCGTAACGGGCAGGGCCACAGGCGCTGGCGGCGGCCATGGTGGGCTGTGGGGTCTGGGGCAGGGAGCTGGACGCAGGCGCTGGGCTGTGGTCTGGACGTCCCTCAAGGACCAGACAACTCGGGGCCTAGGGGTGCAGTCGGGAGTCTGAGGAGCCACATTCCAGGCAAGCTAACCCCAGGGGTTTGGCCTCTAATCATCCCTAGTTTCCTACAAGAGCCACCCCTAGCATTAGTGGCATTCTAGCACGTTCTGCACTGACCCTGCCGGTCAGAGCCTAGGGCCCACGGGTGTTCTCCATCATTCCTCGAGTTTGGGTGTCCCTGGGGGGACAGGAGGGGGACACCTGCTGCTGGCGGTGTCTCACCTGTGCTGGCTTCGATGGGTGTCTCCTGGGACCTGTTTTCACCCTGTTCCACCCACACATGAAACTGGTACATGGTCCCAGGCTGCAGCTGGTCGGCGGGCTGCAGCTGGTGTCCGTCGTGTTCCGCACCTGATCTGTGATGCCCGGTCCACTCCACCGTACCCCGTAGGAGTAGTTCCCGCCCTGGCCGGCGGGGGGGGTCCCACCCGAGTGTGATGGACGTGGGGGTCTGCTCCTCCACCCTCAGGTTAGCGGGTTGGAGGTCTGAGCAAGGAAGACGTGCTGGTCAGCTCCCGCCGTCCCCCGCTGCCCCTGGCTGGGGCCCGGAGGACCCCATCAGCCCCTACCCTGGACCACCCAGCCCTCTGGGAACCCCGGAGGCCCCGGGGAGAGAGGACCCGCAGCGCCCTGAGCTCAGGAGAGGTCACTCACCCTGGGCGCAGGTCCAGCAGCACAGGCCCTGGGAGAGGAGCTGGCATGAGAACAGGCCCGGGGAGGGGCCGCGCCCAGGCCAGCTGGCGTCTGCAGCCCCAGTCCGGCTGTGGGGTGGGAGGGTCGGGCATGGCCTCCCCCGGGGCCACCCTCCCTCGGAGGTCTTTCCCCTGTGTGTTGGGGGTGGGGGGCTGGGTGGGGCGGGGATCGCGGGGAGGGAGCTGGGCCTGGAGCCACGGACAAGGCCGAGATAGGACAAGGCCGAGATCAACCAAGAGCTTTCACTTCCTGAAAAACACGCCTGGGAGACTCACCAGGGCGGCAGCACCCAGACTTGGGCGCTCACCCCCTCGTCTGAGGCGGGCTGGGGGGCTGGACTCCAGGGTACGTGGGGGGTCTGGTGGCTGGACCCTGGGGTCCAAGGGAGGAGGCGGGGGTCTGGATGCACAAGTCCGATGGAGGCGTCTGGGGCCTGGACCCCCGCGTTTGAGGAAGGAAGGGTCTGGGGGCCTCTGGGGAGGAGTCTGGGGCTGCATCTTGGCTTTCCCAGCACCCTGTCCTGCTGAGACCGGAGTTTACTCTCTGCTGACCTGGCCGCGCTGAGTCCAGGCGTCAGGCTCCCCAACAGTCCCGCAGCCCTGAAAGCAGCTCCCTCTTCAGGAATCCTCCCCCCCCAGGCCCAGAGACACCCCCCACCGCCCTCCACCCCCAGTCCCCCTGCTCTGTACCCAGGCCCAGGGGCGGGGCCTCCAGAGCCCTCCTGAGCCCTGCTGGCCAGGACTGGGCACTCACCAGCAGCACCAGGCTCCCCCAGGCCCTGCGGCCCCCGCCGGCCCCTGTCATGTCTCCAGGCTCTGAGGAGGAACCAGGAGTCCCAGCCCCGGACCTTCCACCTGCTGGACTTTAAACGCAGGCATTTCCCCTTCCAGCCCCATGTGAGGCGCAGGCGGGCGGGGCAGGAGGAGGAAGTGCTGCTCTGGAGAGCTTGCCCCACCCCTCACCTGGGGATCCTGTCCCCAGGCAGGTCCCCTCTCCAACCCCAACTTGACCATGAGGCGCCCCCAGCCAGTGGCCTCTGCCCTGCTGCTGTGGGCTGCAGCTCCAGGCAGAGCCAGGTCACACTGCCTAGCTCTCGGGCCACTGGGCCCGATCAGGCCGGGGTGGACACTGGCCCTCAGCCAGCTCTCACCTGCTCGGCCCCTTGGCCTCCCCCACCTCCCAGTAGTGGGGGGCCGGGGCGCCTCCTGGTCACTGCCCAGCCAGCTCCTCTGCTCCCCCATCACCACGTAGATCAGAGGTGGCCCGGGTCAGGCAAGGCTGACACCCGCCGGTGGGTGGTGTTTCATCCACACCCGGACATCGCTCCCTGCGGCCTTGACCGGGAAGCTGGGCGTGGTCACGGTCTAGCACAAGGGCAGAGGCCCCGACTGCATGAGAGGACCCAAGAGCTGAGTGGGTGAGCCGGCTCAGCCCCCGCAGCCCCTTCACCCTGGTCAGCCCCAGGCCCCGGCTTGGGCGTCTCACTTGTGAGCCAGGCTGATCTGAAGTATTCTCCCTCACGTTTGATGGGAAAGGCGGGCACCTCTGGGTCGGGCTACACAGTGCGGGTTGGAGGACACTGGCTAGTGTCCCCGAGTGTGGACACAGCCTAGTCAGGCTCAGCGGGCAGGTGGTGCGGGCGCGCCAGATGCCATGCTGAGCAACACACCTGCACGGGCTATCAACACCCCCACCGTTCCGCCCCTTAGATGAACCGCCACGGGCACAAGACCTCAAATCCATACTTTGTCCTTTTTCACGGCTGAGTAATACTCTACGGCAGGATGGCCCTGGTGTGTCGCTTAGGGCCGGGTACAGGCCGACCAGCGCGGCGGCATTCTGCTGGGGTGCAACACCGAGGCCGTTCCACAGGCCCACCTGGGGCAGCCCCGCAACCCGGATGGTGCATCCACTGGGAAGGACCACCTGTATGGCCCATCGCTGACCAGAATGTGCCGACGTGACACGCGACACACAACTGGGTGCAAGTGTTTATGCGATCACGGTTGACGGGCAGGACGTGTCCACTGTTGGCCGCCACGAGCAGCGCTGCGCAGCAGTCATCGTCCGTCTGGCCGTGCGGTCTCCGTGTCCGTGCGAGCCCGGCACAGGGAGGCACCAATGTCTCCCGGCCTCCGGGGCCTTCCCTGCTTGGGCACTCAGACCCCAGCCCTCGCCCCCGGGCCGGTCAGGACCCCTGCCCCGCCTAGCGGCCTGTCAGCCCCACACCCCGCCCCCCTCTCCCCCTGCACAGTCTGCTCCAAGGGGGCTTTGTCCCACAGGAGGCAGG